AACTCTGTTAGTTTAATTCTCTCTTCCTGAATATCAATCTAATGTATATCAACATCTGCCTGTAGGCCTAGCAGTAGTAAAAGGGATGAGAAATGTGACCAGAAAGACGACTCCAAAAAGACTGAAGACAGAGATGAAAAAGAAAGGAAAGAGAAGGATGAACAGAAGTCTGCTTCATCGGATCAGCCTAAATCGTCCAAGTCAGGTAACATGGCTGTTCTTCATTTCACAGTCAATCTCTCATAGGATCATAGAATCCTAGAATGGCCTGGGTTGCAAAGCAGCACAACGCTCATGAGCTCCAACCCCTGCTGTGTGCAGGTCACCAACCAGCAGCCCAGGCTGCCCAGAGCCACATCCAGCCTGGCCTCGAATGCCTGCAGGGCTGGGGCATCCACAGCCTCCTTGGCAACCTGTGCCAGTGCCTCACCACCTCTGGGTGAAAAACTTCCTCCTCATATCCAACCTAAACCTCCCCTGTCTCAGTTTAAAGCCGTTCTCCTTGTCCTGTCACTATCCAAGAGTGGATGGTCTTGGGGGAGCACTGGCATTGTGTCAGCCTTAATGCTGACTCTTGGGATAGTGAAGAAATGCATTTTGAGCAGGGGTTTAAGGACCTGTTTTAAATTGTAGAGGGAGGTGACTGTGCACAGGGATGAGCTGCATGTGTTGTGTAGTGCTGTTATTTCTTACACCTCTTTCTGCTCAACCTCTGATTTGTACAGGGAGTAAAGGAACAGAGAGAACGGTGGTAATGGATAAATCCAAAGGAGAACCTGTTATCAGTGTGAAAACATCAACTACATCAAAAGACAGAGTGAGTCTGCTTGGGATGCATGGTACATGGGTTTTCCTTAGAAACAGAGCAGGAATCCCACTAAGTTGCACGTGCCCTATGCTTGTCCTGCTGATCAGCCTAATTAAGGTTTCTGTAATGCAGATTTAGCTCTTAATTAGTCAAATATTTTTCATATTGCTGATAACATATTCAGCAGTGAAATCTTGCCAAACTCAACGTGGGAAGGGAAGGTCTTCTGTTATTATGTTGTGGGTCTGCAATGTTTAAAAAAGAAAAAGCAACAGCAAAATGTGGGGGCAGAGCTTTGAGATGTGTGCGAATGGAAGCAGAGCTCTGCGCAGCGCTGGGCCTTTTGTAAAGGCACTCTGCTGAGTTTCTGTCCTGTGTCAAATGCAGAGTGTTAAGAGCCAGGACCGCAAATCGGAGAGCAGGGAGAGGCAAGGCATCGTGCCCTTCGACAAGATCAAGGCTCAGAGGAAGATGAGGGAGGCCGAGCAGCGCCGGTAAGAGCAGCAGTTTTCAGCTTGGCTGAAATCCTTTTTCTTCCTAGCAGCAGTGCAGTCTTCTTTTAATGAAAATGACCAAGGGGGAAAATATGTGTTTGATACTTTATTTGAGTAGAAGCAATGAGCTTTGAGGCATTTGGATTCAACGTCTGTCCGTATCGGATTATTTCCCCCCGCGGGTGGTGCGATGGGAGCAGTGAAGTCACTGTACATACATTGCTGTGATATAACTGAGGAGCTCAACAAATTTGCAGTCACTGTGGTTTTATGTTTTTAATATTTTTTTTTTTTTTTCCCTTTTTAACTTCCTTTGTTGAAATACAAACCTGTAACCTTTCGTCCTGCTAAAACAGCACCCGTGAGCGTCGGGAGAGGCAGCAGCACCTGCAGACCATCCGGGAGCGCGAGGAAAGGGAGAGGCTGGAGATCGCTCGGGAGAGACTGGAAATTGAAAGGCAGCGGCTGGAGCGAGAGCGGATGGAGAGAGAGAGACTGGAGAGAGAGAGGATGCACATAGAGCACGAAAGGAGGAGGGAACAGGACCGCATCCAGCGGGAAAGGGAGGAGCTGCGGCGGCAGCACGAGCAGCTGCGCTACGAGCAGGAACGCCGCTCTGCCATGAGAAGGCCGTATGACATTGATGGCAGGTAAAGGCACCGAGGGACAGGAGGGCGCCGGGCTGCCAGGCTGTGGCTCCAGCCTGCCCTCAGAGAGCTGTGTGTGTGTGTCTGCTCGGAGCTGCGCTCGCTGCTTGGCCTGAGCTGACGGCGTGTAAAACCTCAGCTGTGCTCCTGTGTCTGAGTTCTGTTCCTGCTTCTGAGCTTTGTTACAGGCGTTTTTGATTTGCGCAGCCTGAGGGGAGGGGACAAATATCAAAAGTCACCAACTGGGTTAAAACAAGCATATTCTCTCTGTCAGGAGGGACGATCCATACTGGCCTGAAGCAAAGCGGATGGCGATGAACGATCGCTACCATTCTGACTTCGGCCGCCAGGACCGCTTCCATGACTTCGACCACAGGGATCGTGGCCGGTACCAAGACCACTCACTGGACAGGTGGGTGTTAGCTGTGCTGTGCTGTCTGAAATCAGAGGGCAAAGAAGCATGCAGTATCACATTTTGCTGCCTTTTCTTTACTGGGTGTTTCTTCTGCACTTCCTTCTTTAAGCATGATTTAGTAGCTGTGAAGATTCTCTCGTGAAACCAAAGAGAAATGTTCTGTGCCACGAATGAAGCATTTGTTGAGCACCTGCTCGGTGTGCTGGTGCTGCTGTTTGGCAATTTGAAAGCTTCTGGGGAAAAAAACAGCTTTTGAAATAGTATTGTAGCACCTTAATGGAGGATGTGGCTTCATGCTTCTGGGCTAGCTAGGTTTTCTAGGAATCTCAAGTATTGTGGCTTCCTGTGTTCCTACCCCATTTGTAGGCAATGCTGGCAGCACATGGAAACAGGATTTTCTATCTGTGATGTGTAGATACTGTTAAAACTGCAGTGTTTTCCAACCACAGTTTGATTTTAATTGTCTGCCTGTAGGAGAGATGGATCGAGGACAATGATGGGAGATCGCGACGGACAAGTGAGTTGCTTTTTATAGACCTGTAGAACTATCTCAACTCTTACAACTTGGTTTGCTGTAGTTTCAGATTAAGATGATAGTGCTAGAAGTATCTATCAGTGACAGGATTGCTTTGTTTTTGACTTGCTATAGAACTCAGGTACACAGCAAACCAAACAAGTGTGTCAGAGAGGTGGGTGAGAGAGGGCACAAATACCACAAAATGAACTCTGTAAGGTGGCAGAGCCCAGTGGGTTGGTGTTCCTGAGAGGCAGGCAGTGAGAGGTGGCTCTTACTGATGGCTGAGCTGTGGGATTGCGAGAGTCCCGGACAGGATTGGGCAGAGAGGAAAGTGGTGAAGTTACCAGGAGGGAATAAGGAGTCAGTTCGGGGCTCACGGACGTGCTTGGCCTTGCAGCATTACCCAGACGAGCGCCACGGGGGACCTGAGCGCCACTCCCGGGACTCCCGGGAGAGCTGGGGCAGCTACGGCTCTGACAGGAGGATGAGTGAGAGCAGAGGCATCCCGCCGCCCTCACGGTCAGTGCTCTGAGCTGCGGCACTTCTTGTGCGGCTGCTGAATGCTGTAGATGCGCTTCTTGCCGCGGTTCTTTTCCACAGCCTCCCTCCTCGCTCTCTGCCAGGCGCTCTGCACAAGAGCAGCTCTTCCAGCTCGCTCCTTGCAGCAGTGCTGCTCTCCCGCCGGGTTCTTGCTGTCGTGCAGAAGTAACTCGGGCTCTTCCTGCAGAGATGGCCGCGACTGGGGGGAGCACGGGAGGAAATTTGAAGGGCACCAGGAGCGTTCGTGGCAGAGCAGCGTGGATGGAGGGATGATGGGACGGGATCACGAGAGATGGCAAGGTACCGCTCCCGTGGGGCCTGCTGGGACACAAAGCAAAACGAGCCCCGTGGGTATGAAGGAATCATTTCCACTCTTTTGTAGGTGGAGGTAGAGGGAGACCTGGCCACGTGATGCACCGTGGAGGCATGTCAGGGTAAGGAGCTTAAAAAGAGCAAAGCGTTGCTTCGTCTTCCATTTCCTTTCCTTTCTGGGTGAGTCCCTTGCATTTAAATGAGCCAGAGAAGCATTTGCAGGGGATTGATGAGTTCTGCAGTTTGTTAGTGAAACGTCAAGGGATGACAGAATATTCCTGTGGTTCATAACGTAGCACATCCTTTATTTCAACCCGACTACTGGAGTCGCAAGAAAACAAACCCAAACCCATCTGCCTCACTTTGCAGGCGAGGAGGGTTCATGCAAGGCGGGAACCAAAGTCAGATGATGCACGGAGGAGGGATGCAAGGAGAGGGATTTGCTGGCCAGGAAAGAGCAAGCAGACCCAACGACCCCCGGTTCAACCGTCGCTACTGAATGTTTTAATTTTTAATGCTACGTGGCAACTGAAATTGATTTGTCACCCGGGGTTACCGTTCCTTGGAGCTCGTGGGTCACTGTAAGTGTAATTTTTTTTAAGCTGCTGCCATATTACGTCACTCAATACAATGTGAACTCATTCGTTTTGTAATGTGTTGTTCATATCTCATTTAAAAATGTTTGTTAATGAAGCATTCCATTTTCCACAAATAAAAAACAGTTTACAGTTAACGGCTTCACTCGTCCCTGGGACACCGATGTGTTTGGCCACAGCTGAAGCACAGAATGTTCCACCCCAGCTGCAATAACCCAGTGCCTCTGCACTTTCACTAGCAGCGTGCTCCCAGCAGCACATTGACATGCCACATTACTTTCAGTCTTAATTAAACACTGCAATCTAATTTTTTTTCATGCTGGTGACGATGCTGGGTAAAGTTTGGACAAAGCGAGGGCGAGGGGTGAAGGATCTTTTTCTCTTCTTTCACGGTGGGAGCTACGCCTGCTTGGCCTCTGCTACATCAAGGCAGTCCAAAGCTGCTCCAATTCCAAGACCTACATTTCCCCAGCGATCCTTGATGGAGATGAGCAATGGCTCCTAGCTGTGCTTGGGTACCTTTGGCTGTCCTTAAAAATGCAGTCACCACAGCTGCAGACAGAGGTTCTCCCTCAGCACAGAACCGTCGCTCTGCATGCGAGCCACCTACCGCTAGGGAGACACGAAGCAGTGGGTGCAGTTTGCGTGCCAAAAGCAACCCCAGCCAAACAGGAGCTTCCAAAGTCCTTTATTGTAGCCCTCGCTTGGCTGAGCTGCCCTCCAGCAGGACCAGCACAGGACGGACAGAAGCGCAGAGCTGCGCCCAGAGGACGGGGCTCACTTCACCAGGTCCTTCACGTACTTCCAGCCCTCCGCCGTGTACTCGCAGGCCCTGCTGGGAGCCACAGACAGGGCAGACATCACCGTGTGCACCCCTGCGAGGAAAGCGGAGAGTTATCCCCAGAAAAGCATCCCAATCTATGGCTACTCAGCACCGTGGATCTCTTCAAAGACAGGAAAATGCAGATTGCTGTCATGGAGCTTGAGCTCGAGTACAGCCTCATGCTGTGCCAGCAGCACCAGTCAAAGTTCAGATGACCACAACAAACTGCAGCTGGGAGAATTCAATTTCATTTCTGGTTTTGCTGCAGACCCCAGGTGACGTCACAGGAAGGGGGGCTGTTTCCCCACAGCTCTGTGAAGGTTATTTGCTGTTATTTATAAGAACTATAAATCCTCATCATATTTATCACACGTTTGGCCTTCAAACATCCCTAACTGTCCAGCAGTTATGGGAAAGCTCCTGTGAAAAACCAGAGGGTGAGTTCAGACTCACTCATGTGAGAACAGTTCTGTGGCCATTCTACTTGGATTTCACACTTGAAAATGAAGTGAACTGCCCACAGTCACTGCCTGCTTGTGGTGGAACCTGGAGGAACTCTGCTCCCAGATCCAGAGCTCCTCCCACACAATCACTCTTACAGGGCAGTGCTGAGACACAACCAATATGAGATGATCTTTTGAGTTCCTTTTCAACCCAGGCCATTCTATGATTCTTTGACAAGCTGATCACTTGTCAAACTCGTCAAACCCTCCCCACAACTACATGAAAAGCGACTTTACCTTTATTCCAGGAATCAGAGGGGGAAAAGTCCAAACTTGGAGCGGGCGGGAGCTGGAAAGAGAAAGAAATCAGCAGTGGGGTGTCAGTGGGACACGGCCGCCTCACCGGGAGGGGCTTTGGGACTCACATCTCAAAGGCATTTTGTGCTCCCTTCCCTAAGCCTCAAAGAGCATCAGCCATTGCCCTGAGATCTTGGCTGAGGGCTTGGCTCTTGTCTGCAGCACACAGCAGAAGGGAAGTGCTTCACACTGAGGCGCTGCTGGCAGCTATAGGTTTGTTATCATAGACTCCAATATGGAAAAGACTCTTTGGCTCCTGAAGATTTTAAACACTTCAAGGGTCCCTCCAGGCAATCTGAATTCAGCCTGACAAACCAGGAGAATCTTGGCCTTTTAAACCCAAAGAAAAGCCTAGAACTATTACTACACACTGAAATCTCCCCTCAGAACAAACCTGCAGTCCCCTCCTTGACCTGCCTGGGCTCATTGCCTCTTTCCTTCCAAGTAAGACCTGGGAATTCTCCCCACTATGCTCTGAAAGTCATCCTCCTTCTGTTTCAACCCTCCTCAAAGAACCCTCAATGCAAAGTTCAGGTTCAACAGCAAAACTGCCAATGTCACTGGAACCTGAACCATCGTCCCAGTGTGTCCTGCTCCTCAGTATCTGCTGCACTCATCTGTGCGCCCTCACCTCCCATCCTCACCTCCCATCCTCGCCTCCCATCCTCGCCTCCCATCCTCACCTCCCAGCCCATGTAACTCGTCCACTCTCTGACTGCAGGAGGCAGAGCTGCCTGAGCCTTTTTTAGGGCTTCAGCACCTTCTGCACCGCTGCCCAGCAGCCCCTGATCGTAGGCCACGTACACAGCAGCTCCGGCCAGGCTTCCTTTGATGACAAACCTGAAGGAACCAAAAGCAGCCACAGTTCAGTTTGCATCAGGAGTGACACCGCATCTCTCGGGCAGATAAGAGGCAGAGGGGTCACCGTCCCTGGAGGCGTTTGAGAGCAGATGGCTGCTGCTCTGCCATCCCTTCCCCTACACCAAACATCCCTCATCTGTCAGAAATCTGCTCGCACTTTGTCTGCCTCTCTGAAAACGGAGAAGCACCGCAACTCTGAGCAGAGAATGGCCGATGCAGAAAAGCAACGGAAGGACTCAGCAGTGGGGACACAGCACAGAACGGAGCCCTCAGACCCCGCGGCCCTCCGTGCCGCACCTCCGCGATTCCGAGCTCCTCCAGGGACGGCGACCCCGCCAACGCCTCACCGCCGCAATGCCATCGTTCTCACCGCCGGGATGAATGGGACCCACAGCAGCAGCGACCGAAGCCCGGCCAACACCGGGCTGCCCCAGCAGCGCAGCTTTACGGCAGCTGACCTCACCCGCCCGGAGCCCCGCGCCCCGCTCGCCCCCAGTTCTCACTAGCAGCCGCCCGAAGGGGCCGCACGCTGGGGGCACCGCGCCGGGCCGGCTCTCCCGCCTCGCTCCGCGCCCCGGGCCAAGCGGGGCGAAAGGCAGAACCGCGGAGCGGGCAGCGCCGGGCCCAACCGCAGCTCGGCGGTCCCGGAGGGAGGCGGCTCCCGCGGCACTGACCTGAGCACGGGCAACAGGCGGGCGGCCATGGCGGCACCAAGGGCAGCGCGAGGGCCCGCGCCGCGAAGGCCGCCGGGAGCGTCTCACGTGACCGGAAGAGAGGGGTACGCTTCCGTCTCGACCGTCGCTATGGTGGCGAGGTCACGTGAGCGGGAGGCTGCGCCCGCCGCCATTTGGGGGTGAGGGTCGGGGCTGGGGGGCGGCGCGGTGGGCGCGGTGCTGATCTCGGTTCTCCCCGCTGTTTCATCGCGCTGCGGTGCCTGCGTCAACCCGGAGCGCCGTTCGCTGTGGTGAACACCTCAGCTGTGAGGTTGATGCTGAGTTAACGAGGCCTTCGTTCGGCGCGGGTCGGGCCGCTTTTCCGCAGGCTGGGCGGGGGGAGCAGCGCAGCGCCGCCCCGTGCCGTTATTTCCTCCCTTCGGACGCCGTTATCGCGGCTCCCGGCCTTCGGGGCGGTGCCGGCGTTGCTGGCTGTGACGCCCGCAAAGCGGGGATTTCCCAAACCCAAAGGCAGCGGGATCGGGTGGCGCCAATGTGCGCCGTGCCGTCTGGAGGCGGTGCCCGGCTCCCCGCTGCGTATCGGGCAGAGGTTGGCACAGCCTCAGTGGTTGAACCTGTGGAGTCCCTGCGCTCCCAGCCCTCTTCATCGCGTCCCTTCACAGTTTTCCCACTGCTGACGTCCACATTTGCTTCTGGTTCTTCTCTGCCTCACCTCCACAGCCTGAGCAGCTTTTTGTTCCCCTTCTGCACGGCGTGGAGGAAGATGAAGCCCTTTGGAAAAGTGCTCTGTGCTGCAGGGAGCCTGGCTGTGCTGCTTGCCTTCTTCTGGAGGGACACCTTCCAGCCAGGTATGCTGACCAGGGCTCAGCCCAAGCTGGGACGTATGCAGTGTAACAGAACTGCTTGAATTGCCAAACTGTGATTGCAGTCTCTTCCCACTCGTGGCTGTACTGGAGCTGATAGCCTCTGCCACTGCCTTTCCCTTTTCATTGCAAGCTTTGGGCTCAGGAACTGTTCCTGTGTGGCTGAGCACAGGAGGGGTGACTGAGCTCAAACTGATCCTAACTCCAAACTGATCCAAGGAAACACGGACAGAATCCTAGGATGGCCTGGGTTGCAGAGCAGCACAACGCTCATCAGTTCCAACCCCCTGCTGTGTGCAGGTCACCAACCAGCAGCCCAGGCTGCCCAGAGCCACATCCAGCCTGGCCTCGAATGCCTGCAGGGCTGGGGCATCCACAGCCTCCTTGGGCAACCTGTGCCAGTGCCTCACCACCTCTGTGTGAAAAACTTCCTCCTCATATCCAACCTAAACCTCCCCTGTCTCAGTTTAAAACCATTCCCCTTGTCCTATCCCCATCCACCCTCACAAACAGCCGTTCCCCTCCTGTTTATAAGCTCCCTTCAAGTACTGGAAGGCCACCATGAGGTCTCCATGGAGCCTTCTCTTCTCCAAGCTAAACAAGCCCGGTTCCCTCAACCTTTCCTCACAGTGCTCCAGCCCTCTGCTCATCTCAGTGCCCTCCTCTGACCTGTTCCGAGAGCTCTGCATCTTTCTTGTGCTGGGGCCCCCAGGCCTGGACACAGTACTCACAAGAGCTGAGTAGAGGGGGAATGCTGCAGGCCCAGGGCTCTCTTTGTGCTGCACAGCTTCTGTAGAACAAAAAGCTGCTTTGTGGAAGTGATCTGTGCTGTGCCGTGTCTTCTCCCACAAACAGAGCAGCTTTCTGGTGCCCGCGTCCTGCTGACCGGAGCCAGCACAGGGATTGGGGAGCAGATGGCCTATCACTACGCCACGTTTGGGGCTGAAATTGTTCTGACCGCCAGGAGGGAAGCTGTGCTGCAGGAGGTGAGGGAGGACGGCGGGGCTTTGGGCTTTGGACGCACGTTGTGTTTTCTCCTTCAGAAGCAGCATTGCACAAAACCAGCCGAGGGGCTGCTTTGTGATTTCTGTAGAACAACAGAAGACAGCAGCAGCGATGTGTGCTGAGCCCCACGTGCTGGCACTGCTCTGTGCCACCCTTCTCTGCAGTGACCCCGGGTGGGTTACTGTGCTGTCACACAGCAGTGCTGCTGCAGTGCGTGTTTCTCCTACCAGAGGGCACTGCCACGGCACAGCGGGGCTCTGTGCTCCAGAGGGAGCTCGGCCGAAGGGGAGAATGGAGCTGCAGCTGTGGAGGTGCTTTTCTGAGTCAGTTCTGTCTGTGGCTCCTACAGACGCCCCAACCTTTCTGTGCAATGTCTGACCGTCTTGAAGATGAGATTTCTTTATGGGGCGGTGTGTAGAGAATTATAGGGTGGTTTGGGTCGGAAGGAATCTCTGAGATCACCCAGCTCCACCTGCCCAGAGGCAGGGACGCCTCCCAGCAGTGCTGGGTGCCCACAGCCCCGTGCATCTGCAGCGAGCAGATCTCTCTCAGACCTCGGGATGAGTGCCCTGCCAGGAGAGTTGTGAGCTGTGAAATGAGGCAGAAGGAGAACTGGAGCAGTGAGCACAGTTCCCGTGGGGACGTCGCCTCACCAGAGAGCCAGCTGTGTGCCAGGCAACCTTCACACAGCCCTCAGTGCAAAACAGCTCTGAGAGCTGAGCGCTGCAGGAGGCCACAACAAAGGCAAAGTTTGTGCTTTGGATCAACCACAACAAAAGGCACTGAGTGCAGATGGTTGGAACTCGGGGACCTGTGAGATCTCACTCTGTGAGTCTGTAACCCGAGTTCTAGAAGCATTCTTCTGAAGATGGCCTTTTTTCTGATGGGTCTCGATCCCTTTCCAAGCTAGATTGAATCTCTGTCTTGTTAAGAGCCCTCCGTTCAGCTGCTGTGGGCAGGAGTGTTGATGTAAAATGAACTGAACAGGGGCAGATTTACATCGAGGGGCGTCTTTGTCCAGAGTTGCTTCTTACTGATGGCAGTGAGCGGGAAGGAGCTCCTTGCAGTGCCCTTATTGCTGTTCCTTCCCCGCACCCCACGCTGTTGAATCACTGGGAGAGCATTGTTTTCCCAGGTGGTGGAGAAATGCCTGAGCCTCGGAGCAAAGAAAGCCTTCTATATCCCAGCTGATATGTCTTCCCCTTCCGAGCCTGACAGGGTGCTTCGGTTCGCCGTCCAAAAGCTGGGTAAGCAGAACAAGAACGGCGCCATCCCCAAATGTCTTCTGCTGGGGGAGGAAAGGTTGTGAGCGTGCGAGGGGCTGCTGCTCTGCGTCCAAGGGACGGCCGCCCCACTGACTGCTGTCTTTGCCCACAGGAGGGCTGGATTACCTGGTGCTGAACCACATTGGCATTTCCCCTTTCCAGATGTGGGGTGGAGATGTGGAGCACAGCCGCTGGCTCATGGAGGTGAGGATTCCCAGCAGTTCTCGTGGAGAGCAGCGATTCTGCTTCCCCTGGGACAACCTGGAGGGGCTCAGAGGCAAATTCAGACCTATGGCAGCAGCTGAGAGCAACCGCTGTGTGTGTTTCAAGTCCAGTGCTTTGGAGACTTCCTGACTCACCTCAGTGTTCTGCTCACTTACGTTGCTGTGTGCAGAGGAATGAATGCCTGGAAGGAGCTGACTTCTCTCCTTCCTTCCATCCTCTTTATCTGTCCTCAGCCAAAGCTGCTGGGCTTGGCCTGCTGTGGGTCCTTGCCCAACGTGTGCTGTGTTTAGGAAGGCCAGCAGGCGAGGAGCAAACATTCCCACCCAGCTACAGCAGGTTCTGTTGCAGAGCACGCTGTGGTGGCTGGCAGTGGTGTTTGAGCCCCTGCTCGGACACAGGACTTCCCCATGGTGCCGCATTTTGGGACTGCAGAGATGAAGAGCTGTGCTGCTTTGCTCCTGGCTGGGCCAGTGGGTGACTGATGGTGGGAAGCGTGCGTTTGCTGCAGGGCAGGGAGCCTGGGGCAGCAGTAAGGAAGTCCCTGCAATTGGCAGAGCAGGGATGCTTCCTTGGTGGTCTGAGCTCAGCCGGGAGCAAAGTGAGGCACTGCTTTGGGCCTTGTGGCTGAGCAGGGGGTGCAGAGTGAGACCAGCACACAGAAAATTAGGGACAGCGGCCTCGCTTGCCAGGAAATGTTACTGTGGGGCCTTCAGGTACATTTCCTGACTTCTCCATTGCTGTGCCTGGGATCTGAAGGGCTCATGGTGCAACATTTGTCCCCATCCATCCTAGCTGAGATGATTCTTTCCTCCTTGCGTTTCCAATTTCACATCCAAGCCGCGCTCCCTGTCGCTTCTGTTCTCTCGGCTTGCGGGTTCCTTTCCAAGCACTCTTTTTCTCCTTGCACGCCTCCTCCTTCCAGGTGAATTTCTTTAGTTACGTGGCGCTCGCAACAGCAGCTCTGCCCACCCTGGAGAAGAATCACGGCTCGGTGGTGGTGGTTTCTTCCCTCACAGGTCAGTGCGTGTGGCTGAGCTGCAGCTCCTGCGCACCACGCCGCTTTCAGCACACACTCGAGCTGTAGCAAGCAGGACGGAGGTGGGCCGGGCTTCTTCCCCGCTGGACGTTTCTTCATTCTCTCTTTTTCCCTCCAGGGAAGATTCCCACTCCTTTCACCACTTCGTACTCAGCCACAAAGTTTGCACTGGACGGATTCTTCAGCTCCCTGCGCCACGAGCTGATGATGCAGGAGAGGAACGTCTCCATCACGCTGTGCATCCTGGGCCTCATCGACACGGCCACGGCGCTGGAAAAGACCCGGTGTGTGTTTGTGTGTTTGTGTGTTTGTGTGCGCGCGTGTGTCTGAGCGCGGCCTGACGCTCTGCTGGTCTCACGCAGGGGCAAAGTCTTCATCACTGCTTCCCCTGCGCCAGAAGCGGCGCTCGCCATCATTCGCGGCGCTGCCGCCCGCCTGCCGGAGCTCTTTTACCCGTGGTGGCTGCGGCACGTGCACGGCCTCTGGGTGCTGCTTCCCAACCCCCGCGTGCTGCAGAGCTTCTACAACCACAGCGCTTCGAACCACGGCAGCCCCTGACGGCGCGGGGATCCGCGTGCGGTGATCGCCCCCCCATCTTCCTCCAGACCCCGCAGCCGCCCCTCTCGCTCCGCCCCATAGGCTCGGTTGTGTCTCGCGTTCTCCGCCCGGGGCCGGGCCTGCAAGGAGCGAAGCCGGCTGCCCTCAGCCGCTGCCTCGGAGCGCCCCGTGCGGACCGGCGGCACCGCGCCTTGCGGGCACGGCGACGGCGGCGGAAGCGCCCGAGCCGGAAGCTGCCGCTGCGGGATTGAGCCCCGCCCCCCGGGCGGCAGCGGATTGGATGGCACTCGAGGTGTATGCAAATCTCGCTGTGCTTCCGCTTTCCTATTGGTTCCTGGTCCACTTTAGCACCGCCCTAATGGCGCGAGGCCCGCCCCGCGCCTTTGATTGGTTAGCAATAGTATGCTGCTCGTCGCTCCTCCTCTCGTGGGCGGAGCCACTCTGCTGCCGGCTGCCCGTTGGCTGAGCAGCTCTGGGGGGCGGGGCTTCGTGCGGCGGTGGCGCGCCGGTGCGCTCCGGGTGCGCTGTGCGCAAGCGGCGGTTCCGCTCCGGTTCCCCGAAGCGGTGCTGGCGCTGCAGCCGTCAAACGGCCCCGGGCCGCCCCAACCCCAGGCGGCGCACGCGGGGGGCAGCCGGGTTACTTAGGAAGTAAAACTTTTATTAAATAAGTTTAAGATTCTTTGTAGATCAGAGCGAGGGCTGACACTGATGGAGCGGCGTCGGGATCGGCGATGGAGGAAATGCGGACGGTCAAACGGCGGCGGGCCGAACCTCGCCGGGTCCCGCTGTTGCTCCCCCCCCTCCCCCCCCCCGGTTTGTATTTGTTGGTCCTTTTTCTTTCTTTTTTTTTTTTTTTTTTTTTGTTTTTTGTTTTTGTTCAAAATTAGATTAAGTTTAAATCCATGAAATTATTCGTAGCAGAAATAAAGTACATTATACAAATCACGGACGTCGTCGATGTTAAGTATAAAAATGGTATTTACAATAAGTAAACATGGACTATAGAAACACACACAGACCCCCCCGGCCCCCACCCGGCTCCGCCGCCTCTCCCTGCAACGGGGTGAGCAGGGGGGGCCGCAGCCCCGACCCCGTCCTGCCCCCACAGACACAGCGCTGCCCTCCGCGCCTCACCCCGCTCTGCCGCGTTCGGCTTTTCCTCCTGGTTTCAGCAGGAAGCAGCAGTTTGTGCCGCCTGAGGGATCGGCCCCGTCAGCACAGCCCCCTTCTCCCCCTTCTCCCCCTTCCCCTCCCTCCCCCCCCCCGTGACACAGAGCTCCGCGCTGTGCTTCAGTGCGTGTGGAGGTGTGAACGCAGATACGGACTGTGCGATGTGGGTCCCTCGGAGGGAGCGGTGGGGAAGAAGGAACCGCGGGGACGGCGGCCCGATGCCATCCGTGCGCAATGGGGAAGTGCCGCAGAGCTGAATTCAACGGGAAAGGTCCGACCTGGGCTGGGAACCAGCGCTGCCTGCACGCAGCTCTGGGTCCTGCAGCGCCCGGCCGTTCCATCAGCGCTCCCTCTCCTCCTCCTCCTGCTTTGCTGTCCTGTTACCACGAGCAGCAATGAGATGCGGGGCGGCAGTGCAGGTCCTGCAGGGAAAGGTTTCCTGTGCTTTCAGCCCAACCGGCACCGAATTGCAGGAGTTTGGTCTGCAGAAGCCCTTAGGAGGGTAAGACAGAGCGATCCTTAACCAGGCTGGTGCTAAGGTTGGTGGGTGAGTGAGCGGAGCGGAGCGGCTGCTGTGCCCTAACCCTGGAGGTAAGTAGTTCTCCTTCTCCTCGCTTGGTGCTGATGCTGAGCGGGGAGATGGGCCCTCCCTCGCTCTCTGTCCATCCAGCATCCTCTCAAAATGTTCAGGTCTGTTTGCAGTGCCTGCTGAGAAGACAACGGCTGCAGAGGTAAACCCTTCGCTTCCAACCCCTCTGGCAAGGAGTGTCTGAATGGGAAAGTTTGGTCCTGTGAGTCACTTCAAGGAGAGAAAAGAAAAACGGGCTGTGCAATACTGACATGGATCTGTAAAAGGGAGAGGAGATGGAGAAGGGAGGAGGAAAAGACCTTCCTGCAAGGCAGGACTGGCCTTCCCTTTGTAACGGCTCTTTTTGGGACTAGAGGGCAGGATGGGGGGAGGGGAGGAAGGGAAGGGGTGTGAAGGGAGCTGACAAATTCACCAGCCTCTCTGTAAGTCAACCTGAAGCAGAAACTCTTCCTCTGGAGTTTCCCTTCACCTGAACAGAAAGAGAGGAGGGAGGGAAGTGGGGGATCGGGGGACACCTGTGTGAACCTCCGGCTCTGAGCTGACGCTGCTTAAACGTGGAGGAAAATGAGCCTAAATTAGAAGGGACCAAGTGCAGCCCCCCGCTCCCAGCCTGTCTGACAGCAACCAGCTCTGCCAGCGGCTCTCACAGCAGGCTGCTCTCCTGTGGCCCTGCACAGCATCACCTGTGGGTCACAAACACCTCCTGCTGCTGTGGAGGACCGACGGCCCAAGAGATGAGAACAACGCTATGGATGGAGCTTTAAGGCCTTCAGAGGAAGACGCAAAGTTTGGGGGACGGGGCAGGGGGCCGAAGCCTCGTTCAGAGCACAGGTTGGTACCCCACCCCCCCAGGCACTCCATGACCTTAACGGTCTCTGCCCGCTCAACCGGCTCCTGCTCAGCTCAGCCTCTGCCCTCAGCCCCACACCGCTCGGTCCCCAACTCTGGCTGCAGCCACAGACTTTGTTATCCAGACCCCAACCCTGGCCGTCCCATACAGAATCACAGAACTGTGGGGGTTGGAAGGGGCCTCCAGAGATCACTGAGTCCAACCCCCTGCCAAAGCAGGTTCCCTAACCCACCTGGCCATCCAACCCCACTCACCTTCACCAGCCCTGATGCCCAGCCCAGGGAGCAGCCACCCCCCGCTGCCCCCCACACCGACGCAGCAGATGGACTCTACCTGTGCTGCAGAAGTGACTCCTGCTTGCTCGCTGCTGTCAGTAGGGATGGTTGGCATCCTTGGGTCGTTTCAATTGGACCTTCAAACGTTTCATGCCAATCTGGAAGCCATTCATGGCCTGGATGGCAGTTTGTGCACTGGATGGGTTGTCGAAGCTCACAAAACCTGAAGGAGAGGACAAGGGCAGAGGTAACAGCAGCACTGCTGGGGTGTGCTCAGCACACGTGCATCCCAGCCATGTCGTGCTTCTCTGGCCTCTTGGGCAGCAGCACTCACCGAAACACTTGCTCTGGTTGGTGGCACGATCCATGAACACCTTGGAGGAGATGATATTGCCAAAGGGAAGGAACATCTGCATCAACTCATTGTCTCCAAACTCCTGAGGGAGATGGTAGATGAAGAGGTTGCAGCCTTCAGGACCTGCAGGCACGAGGGCGGTGTGGAGGGACAAAGCACAGACAGCCCCAGAGGGAAAGGGGAAGAGAAAAGGGCTCAACTGAGAGCACAGCACTGGAGGAGACCCCAGCACTGCGTCCTTCGGCCTCGACCTCCCCTTGATCTCAGTCACTCATCCAAAGGTTCTGAGGGCTCTCCAAGACCCCCTGAAGACAATACAGAGAGCTGGAGGTTCTGGAGAGCAGATTCCCTTTTGCAGCTTGCCCAGCTCCCACCCAGGGCTCTGGCCACAACTCCCTCTGAGTATCCAGGTGTCGTCATGCTGGAATAAAACCAGCCACAGTGACAGCTCACGGCTTCCCACTATTGCTCAGCTCTGCCCTGGACACCTGTGTGTGAAAGCTGCAGCTCTCACCTCCCCTGCCCATAACCACACAGCAGCTGCATTCAACCCACGAGCCGCAGCTGGAAACCTCCTGGGCTGCCACACATCCCAGCCCTGGGCTGAGCTGCTCGCCCCGTGAGCCTCGCAAGCTCCCATCCTCACCTTCACGCTGCTGCTGCTGCAGGACGGGCGGCGGCTGCGGGATGCTCTGCGCGATGGGGGTGATGGAGGTGGTTGGATACACAGCTGCGATCCAAGGAGACAGAACAAACTGCTTACCCAGGGATGTGGAACACAGAACAAACCATTTACCCAGGGATGTGGAACACAGAAAGGCCCGAGGGAGAGAAGGGAAGGCGGTACCTGCGTACTGCTGGACGCCGGTGAAGGCTGGGTGCAGGGTCTCTGCTACCGAAGGGCTCTGGGCTGCAAAAAGAACAGCATCAGAAGCACAGCAAAGGGAACTGCATGCACAGAGACTCCACTGAGTCTGCAAGGGGGGGTAGGAAAAGCCTCTGCTGCAGGGATCAAGAAGAAGAGAGCTAAGTTCAGCTCTTAAGGCCTCTGGATTGTTTCCTCCTGCGAGCCATACCTGAATACGGTACAAAGCCATTGGTGTAAACTGTTTCCAAGGACGGATGGCCGTTGGGAAAGGGCACCACGCCAGTAAAGCCATTGGAGATGGGTGCCACCAGCCCTGGCATGGCTGTCGTTCCCAGAAGAGGCGGCGAGTGCAGCCCTGCAGTGAGGAGGAGATGCTGTGAGCCCACAGTGCCCCTTCCGCCAGGTGAGAGTGCTGTGCACAGAGCTCTTATTTCTTCTAGCTGGCGACTGCAGGTGACAGAGCTCAGCGTGGAGCTGTCACACAATGAGGGCTGCTGTCACAGCTCCAGGTGGGGAGACTTTAAACCCAGGCCTGTAAAGCAGCCAGCATGGCGCAGCGCTGCTCCCCATGGGCGCCCGTCCCCATCAGCTGCTGTCGATTGCGACAGGGAACGGCAGCGCTGCCAGGATCAGCCCTGGGGACGCAGTCGCTCCTTCCTGCACCTTCCTGGCCTGAGCTGAGCAGAATCCGTGCCCTCACCTGATGTCTGTGCGATGGGTGCTGCTGGCAGCCCGTTCAGACTGACTGCCCCGATCTGCTGGATGTGGCACGGCGAGAAGGCGACGCCGGGGCTCAGGTAGCTGCCATGGGAGGTGGACAGGACAGTCGTCTGCTGCTGCATCAGCTGCAAGGCAGGGCAGGGCTGCTCAGGGTCTGCACAGCCCCCGGCAGCCAAACCCCCTCCCAACCCCCCCCCCCCGAGGTGTTCAGCTCTGCCTCGAGGAAGCCCAACCCCTCTGTCCTTTGCAAGGTGTGTGGGTGCACCGGGGGGTGTCACCCAGCCCTGCTCATGGGGCTCCATCCTTCCTCCGAGCAGAGAGGGATGGGGCTGGGAGCAGAGCGAGGGGAAGGCCGGTGCAGCCAGCAGTTGGTGCTGTGAGACACAAGATGCAGCTCTCAGAGCACAGCACCAAGCAGCTCTGTGTGCAGCCATCTAAACCCCCTCGTAAAGCTCGTCTGCTGTCAAGCAGGAAGGGCTGGGGAGGAGCAGGCGGGATGCTCTGCAAGTCCTGATGAGCTGGGGTGGCACGAGGCAAAGCCAGCAACAACGTGAATCCTCTTCACACTGATGTGAGCTGAGTGCCTGCTGTGCAGCACAACCCCGCCTGCTTGGCCCCGCATCCAAAACCCAACGTGGAAACGTTTGCACCTCTCTGTGCTTCTCTTCATTCCCTGCACACTGAAGCTGCAGAAGGAGAGGCGCTGCCTGACCTCACAGCACCGCAGTCTGAGCCGACGCGTGGAGAGCAGCAGGGATGGAACCGGCTGCAAGGCAGCACCGCGAGGCGCAGAGCACAACGTGCCCTGGCTGCGGGCACCCAGGGCGAATCCCCCGAAGCAGAGCTGCTCCACGGCTCGGATCCGTCACCCTGAGGCAGCAAAACGTGTCCTCCTGAGAGCGCTGAGGTGCTGCTGAGGATCCCCGAGGCCACCAGCCTCTGCCTTCACACCCCAGCCGGCAGGAACCCATGCATGTCCTTACTTAGAACATCGATTTTCTTTTTTCTCATTAGCGCCTGTTTGGTGGCAGGCTCTGGCCGGAAAACGACCCGCATTCAGATGCAAATGTGCCACACCAGCATTCCCAAACGGTCGTCGTTACTCCAATAAAATTACCTTAATGAGCCGTGAGAACAAAGGGCGGCGGTGGGCGCACAGCTGCGTGCTCACAGCCACCGGGAAACACGCGGGCACTGATGGCACCCACCGCTCCATCAGCCCTCCTCTGCACCCAGACCTTTCTTCAGGCCCCGGATTTGGTCTGAACTCATCGCTGGGTCCAACCTGTTGATGGAGCTGCAATGTCCTCACTTGTGGAGGTGGGGCCCAGCTCAGCTCCCAGCCCTCAGATGCGCTGGTTTATGGCTGCTCGTCCCCTGTCAGGATGCAGCCCTTTTCTCTCAAGCTGAACCAGCTGAAATGCGCTGCCTAGTTTTTAATTAATCTCACCTGACTGGATAACTTTAGACCTAAACAGCCCGGGATGACTTCACGTTTCATCCCAGATACGTTTCCTTCAAGGAAAATGTAATTAACATAAATTAAAAGCATCCAGCAGAATCAAGAAGTGAGGCCCTGAATGCCGTGGTGCCTCAGGGGGAGGCAAAGGCTGCAGGGATGGGGAGAGCAGAACGCTGGCACAGAGCACTGGAACGCAGCAGCAGCTCAGCCTGACTGCCACGTCGCCACCATCACCTGTGCCCCCAGTGCTGCATCCCAGGTAGCAGCTGGAGAGCTGTTAACCCTCTGCCTCTGACATTTTGTGCACCCAAAAGCTGGTGAGGATCTCTCCTTGTGGGAAGGTTGAAAGTGAAATGGGACAGAAAGTCTTGAGTCCAGGGGAAAGGCACCGCAGGCAGAGCAGGAAGGTTAGTAAGGAGCTGGAGAGAAGGCATTTACAGACAGCTGAGGAGAAACGAGAAGCAGATCAGCAAGCAGCACAGCCGAAGTTTGGTTCTGCCTTCTGGTCACCATTGGGAGCTTCTGAAGAGTGGAGGTCGCTGACAAACCAAGCCTGGAAGATCTCCCTGCTCTCCCTGCTCACACGTGGGCCACAAGCTCACAGCACGGCCCCCATCCTGCCGTCCTGCCCAGCTCAGCACCAGCTCCACGGCAGCAGAGGGTGCACCAGAACAAGCACATCCCAGCTGACCCCTGTGCTGAGGGTTGTGGGAGCTTCTGGGGATTCTTGGAGAGAAAAACTGGGAAACAGTTCCTCCTCTGTCATGGAGATGGGGCACAAAGCAAGGAGCCGCTGCAGCCAGAGGTGAAGGTTTATTCTGTCCCCTAGGGAAATTACTTCTGGGAGCAGCTCCTACTTTCGGGCTCTTGGACACAAACATCTCTCACGCCCTGAGCAATTTCCCAGCCTCCTTCCATGGGAGGCAGAGAGACTTGAAAGTGACGGCCATCAAGACCTGAAGATGCTCCACCAGAGCTGGTCGGGGACTTGCTGAGTTTAGGATCTACTTCAAATACCAGTGGCAACCACCACTACCATTGCCATAAGGCAGTGAGGTTCCACAAGATCCGAGGTGCAGCCAGCCTTGTCAGAGAGGAAGAAGGATGACTGGAACACCTCTGGCCCTCTGCAGCATCCTGCAAACCCCACTGGTCAAGAGAGGAAGCCCTGGGAGCCACAGACAGCAGTGGAAGCTTGGTGCCCTCTGGAGAGTTTGAGCAGAGAGAGGAAAACCTGAGGCTGGGCCCAGGGCTCTCCTGGTGCTCCAAAAGCAAACTGAGGCGCACTGCGGCCATGGACCCGGCTCACAAACCATGCCTGGCAAATATCACCCATGAATCGTGGCTCTGAGCTGCCCACAAAACAAGACAGAAAGACTCGGGCTCCACCTGTTCCCGGGCACCTCCACCAGTCTACGTGTCAGAGGAACCCAGCCTCACTGTAAGGAGGTCCCAGCTCTGTCCTGTCGCCCCTTCCAGGAGGAAAAAGCACGCGGGCTGCGCTGCCAACTGAGAAACTGGAACAAACCCCAGGTGCCAGGAAGCTCACACAGATACAGGGACCTGTCAGCAGTCTCCCAGCCCAGGTATGGAGTTGCCCCACAGCCAGGAGGGCAGCCTCCCCCCCCCGCCCCCCGGTGATACTCACAGCCTGCGCATAGGCGCTGTATGGGCTGAACGGCAAGGTGAGAGATGGAGTGAATATCCCCAGCTGCCCCACCATTTGCTGCATACGACGGAGGGTCCTCTCCTTATCTGTGTCAGCAAACTTCACCACTAGACTGGAGGAAGCGCCCTAGGCACAGAGAGAGGAGACAGAGAGAGGAGGCCGGGGGGAGGAGGCCAGGGGCAGGCAGAGTCAGCAGTCAGGCAAGGTGGGATGGGGCAGAGCAGGCAGCAGAGAGGAAGAGGTGCAGAAGAGCAAATATTGGAGTGAAAGTGCTCAGCAGCTGCCTGGAACCTGGGCCATGCCCTTCCCGTCCGTCCGTCCGTCCATCCATCCATCCATCCATTCATCCATCCATCCATCCATCCATCCATCCATCCATCCATCCATCCATCCATCCATTCACCCACGTCCCACCCTTCCCCTCACACAACTGCACACACCTCTGGCTGCGTTCACCACAGGCAGCCCCAGCCCAGCAGGCTGTGGGACTGCAAAAGATAACACCACAGCTTGCAGTGAGAGGGCACAGCTGTGGTTACACAGCCCCACATCACGCATGGGGCATTCCCACCTACCCCAGCACGGCCCAGAGGCCCCTCCACCACCTAAAGAGAAGGACAGGGAGCGTGCCACTGGAGCCCTGACTGCTGCTCTGCTCTCAGCAGGCACACAGACTCACAGCCTGGTCCCTGGCTCTCCTTTTTCAGCCTTTTATCTAGATAAAAGTGCTGCTGCCACTACCGGTCTGGGCAAACTGACACACACCAGCCTAGGAGACAGGATGGTCCCCAAGGACAAGAGCACGGATGTGTGCATGTGCCCCCTGTCCTCACAGCTGTACCGAGCTGGAAACTGTGGTCGTGGGCAGTGAGGGAGTTCGCTCTGGGGGAGAGAATTAGGAAAGGGGAGGGAGGTACCCTGGCCTCATACTCACGGGCATTGTCTGGCTGCCGTGGAGTGCGTGGATTGCTGCCTGAGCCTCTGTGTGAGATGAGAACTTTACAAAAGCACAGCCTGGAAAGGGACAGAGAGCACAGGAGACGCAGTGATGGGACCGCCGTGGTGTGGTCACATCTCACGCAGGGCAAAGGAGAGCAGAACAGAAGGGATGGCTCGCCCCAAGCACTCTATTCTGGACAAGCAGGAAGGTTCTCACACTGTTCTTTCAGCGACGTCACACCTCCTCATCTGCCCCTCATCACCTCCTCCCTACATTCTCTATGTGCTCCGAGTTGCGCCTACAAATGTTTCCAACTGCAGCCCCGACCTGAGCTCACTGATGATCCCAGCAGCTCCTTTCTGCTCTCTGTCCCCGTCCTTGCACCTAACTGTGCCCATCCTCCCCAGCCTTCCCCTCCCTGCTATGCGTTCCCACGAGGCAGGCGAGCACTACCTGAAGAGCAGGGAGAAAGGGCACGACACAGAGGGGTTCACACCTTTGCTGTTCCCATCAGGTCCACGCAGCACCGTACATTCATCAATGACCCCAAATGGTTCAAAGAGCCGAAGCACGTCATCCTCAGACTGCTGCTTATTTAACATGCCCACAAAGAGCTTCCTGTCCCCTAGGGGCAAACACAGAAACATCAACCTTCTATGAGGGACACAGTCTAAAGTAGGAGGATAGGGACACGTATGCACAGAACAGCTTCGTGTTGAAAACATGCCCGGAATGGCAACGATTTGCTGTTGGCTGAAATGCTTTTATGGCTGAGGGACCCTCCTGAGCTGCACACACAGCAAAGGGCTCTGCGGTGTCCCTTCTCCTGGTCAGCAAGGGCAGCAATTCCCTGCTCGTCATTATTGTTCTTTCCTTTGGATAATCCAGTGCAAATGGGAATAGCAAAACCTTCCTGGGCAATTATAGCCCTCCTGAGCAATACATCCAGTCCGAGGGGCACCTCAGGACACAGTGCAGACCATCACAGGCAGCGTGGATCAACTGCTGCACCTTTGGCTTCTCTGCTTCCATTTCCCTCCGCCAACATTGCTATTTCCACTGCTGCTACGCAACCAAGCAGCACCACTTGGATGCGCCCTTCCCTGCCCCATCCGTCAGCCCACACAAACACAGCAGCATCCTCCCAGACTGACTGGGGGTGGTTGTGTCACCAGTGAACGCTCCCCCAGCGCCACACGTGGGGAGAGGTGACCCGAGGCGGGGTGCTGGATGAGGGCTGGGAGGATTCCTCATTGCGACGGGAGCGGAGGGGCCGGCTTCAAACAAAACCAATGCAACGTGACGCACGTCGCAGCAAACAGCGAGGAAGCTGCAGTCTGTTGGAGTGCAGTGACCTGAAAAACAACAGGTCTGGGAGCGACAGCGCGGGCTGCAGGGCTGTGCTGTGTGCAGATGAATAGATGACACCCGGCACGCTCACACGGCCCCAGCTCCGAGGCACACGAGCGCGCTGCCTTCCCACTGCTCTGCCATGAGAACGTGGGCAAGCTGTGTGCACGTGCCACGTTTCCCCTGCAGAAAAAGCAAGGCAGAGAACAGAGCGTGTGCCACACGGCTGCACCAGCACTGAGGCAGCATCTGCCCCCAGCCAAGGCTTGGATGAATGGTTCTGCTTTGGGCTGATGACTCATTTGGGAAAGATCCACCGAGACACCGCCGGCTTGCCTCAGTCCTTGCGGTTTCGCTGCAGGTCTTCTGTTGTTTGGGAGGGTTTGCTAACAGAGCCTTTTGGAAGCCTGGTTTTTATTGGTGAATGTCAGCTTTTCTTGCTTGAATTTGGAAGAAAAAAAAACGTTTCCAGCTTCTCTGCCTATGCAGAACAGCTTAGAACCGTGCTGCCCTGCAGAGTCGAGCTCTAAAGGCAAAAAAACCCCACACCTATTGGTTCTCAATCTCTTCTGAATGCTCAGAATGGGGTGAAATCACTGACAATGCAAGAAAAGGCTTCTTTCTTTTTTTTCCCCAGTTCATTTCATTTCAAGCAGCCCCGCTCCCAAGATGGCACACAGGGAAAGAATCCAGAGCTGTCGGGGCAGCCCGTAGCCGTGAGCCATCGCCACAGTCCTGAAACCCACAGCCTTCACCCGATGGCTGCTGCCACCACTCCCAAGGACAGATCCCACATCGGCTGTCGTCCTCGAGCCACGGTGGGTCACAGCTCCAAAAGGACTCCCCTCCTGGTAACAGCACACCCCCCTCCACTCATTTGTCCTCCGTTTCTCTCCAGATCTTGTTTTTCACCTTCTGATTGGCAATTTCCCCATACTGTCCAGCAAGCAGGAGAATTGTCTCTGATCCTTGGCTGTTGAGTTCCCATGGAAACATGCTCTGGGCGCAGGCAGGCAGATGGGAGGAGGGAGAGTGCAGAGCAGGTCGGGATGAAGATACCATGGGAACAGCCAGGGGCTGAAGGCTGCAGCCACGAGGGGGGGAGCACACGGCCCTGCAGAGGGAGGGAACCGGGCCAGCAGCCCCCAGCAGCAGGACTGGGGCAGGGGAGGCAGCTGTGGATGGGGTGGGACCCACTGAAGGCAGGTAGGGTCCTCCCTGGGTAGGCAGGGGGGTTTTCTTGCCTCTAACACAGCGCTGATGGGCTCGGGCCAGCTGTCGTATCGACTTGGCACAGCACAGAAACGCAGACAAACGTAGACTGCTCTGCCCCTTCAGCCCATCTCTTGCTGGTCCTCCTGGGCTCACATCACAGGCAGAAGGAGGGAAGAGCTGACACAGCCTGCGCTGGGATGACAGGTCCTCTGAACTCATGCGGGCAGCATCTTCTTCCTAGCAAACCCCTTCTGCAGGGTGCAGTAACCCCCAGCATCCAGCTATCCCCACACCGTGCCAGGGTTGCTCTGGCACAAGGCTTCACATCCCTTACACCAGGAGACAAATGATGGTGCTCTGACTTAATCCAGGATGCTTAATTTGTGAGGCGTGAGCCCCTGCAGAGGTTCCTTCCCTGGGTAATGCAGATCAGGGCTCCACTGATGTTCCCTTGTCTGAGCAGCTCTGCCCTGCCCAAGTCTTCCTCTTACCTCCTGTCAGTGTGGGGTCACTGCTACAGGGAATGGCTCTTTCCAGATCTGCAAATGTGTTTGGCCACATCTCTGGTAAGAAGGAGAACTGCAAGAGGAACCTTTGGAGACAACAACCTGAGTCAGACAAATCCAGGGTGCTGTCCTGATGCTGCTTCCACTGCTGGGAAAATTCCAGTCTGTGGTGGATCCTGTGGGGACCACTGGTTTGTGAGCTCTGCAATGAGGCTGGAAGGAAGAAAGGTGTTCAGAGCCTCCCAGCTGTTCTCATGGCTTCCCAGAGAAAAGTGCAGCCTCCGATAAGAAGAAATGCAGGAGCCAAAGCCTGGCTCCACTCTGCTGCTGGGAGGCAGAGCTGATGCCCTGATATTTGCAGCCATTGCAGATCGTGGCCCTGCCTCCAAAGCGAGGTCCTGCCTGCTCTGCTCCCCACCATGAGCTCTTTTTGCTCTGCTCTCTCCCCTCTCCAGCTGCAGAACAACCACAGCTCTGACACTTCCAGGGAAAAATGAATGTTTGCAATATAAATATTGTGAAGCAGAGGAGAAGAAAGAAGGGACGGGGAGTGAACTCCTCTCCTCAGATTTCATGGGTGCTGCGTGGGCTCGAGGCTGAAATTCCCACTTGGGAGAAGAGCAATCCCTGAATCCCTGCAGAGAGGGGGAGAAAGGGCAAACTTTGCTCAGAAAATACTTCCCTCCCTTCCCCTCCCCCCCAAAGCGAAACAGAATGGAAACAGAAAATGCCTTTTTGGGTGAGAAACCAGCGGTGCTGACAAAAAGGGTGATTTTCTTCTTTGGTGCCTTTTTCCTTGAGAGACAAAAAAAAATGCTACTCTTGCACCGATTTTGCAGGAGAGGGAAATGATCCTTCTCAGAATGGTGAAATAGGAGCACGTTCAAAGCTGATGGATGCCTTGTGCACAGCTCTGCTGGGGGTGGAAGCCTCCCAGGGCACCTCGGGGTGAACGCTGCCGTGATGCAATGAGAGCAATTAATTCAAGAGCCACTGTGGGATCTTCTGTTCTTCTTTGGGAATGAAGCCCACCTTTCTGTGGGAAAAGCAAAACCACCATCATGGGGCTGAGATTCTCACCACGCTGTGCATCTCAGTCCCTTACGAATAGCACTGGAAACCATTGACCTATTTTGCTCCATATGAAAGCACCAGAGATGTCAAATTCCAACTCATCCTGGGATAGCAGGCAGCTGTGTTTGTATGAGAAGCTGTGCTGCTTCTCCAGTGAGGCATATCTCACAGGTGGAATGGCTGGGAAGGCAATGGGAACACAAAGGAGCAGATCTCAGTCCAAGCCAGGTGTTGAATCCCCCAGGAAAACAGCAAAACCACAGATTCTATTTGAAAAACAAGAAAGATCTGACTTGATAAACTTCCTGTTTTTTAAAGGAGGGTCACGCAAACAGAAACACACACGTCTGTGAAAAAAGGTAGCACAAAGTATATCTCTTGTTTCTGCTGGGGCAACAGGCAGAATTGCTTGGAAATGATCAACTGCTTGGAAACAACCCCCGAAAATCCCAAACAAAAGTCTTCTGAATCTAAACGCAGCACGCAGGACACGCTGCCCTGCAGGAACAAACAGCCTCACACAGATCCTCCCCACCAGCAAACTGCTTTCACAGGCAGCACACGGAGAGGCAGATGCAGGAATGGAAGAAGGGGAAAAGCAATGTACCAGGAAGACAAGGAAAAGCAGCAAAACATCCATAAATCTGGACAGGGCGGGAGCTGCAAACCCTCTCCATGCAGAGGAAGAGCCTGAGCTGCTGTAAGCTCCCCATTAATTTCAGAAATGCTCTCCTGTTCTCAGGCTTCCAGCTCTGAACTGCTCATTAGGTGCAGCTCTCAGCGAGCTGCTTCCCCGCAGGCTGCAGCTCCTCCATCTCAGCCTTAAACCCGGGCTCCTTCTCCTCCAGAAGTGCCTCCCCACCACGCACTGTTTTCTGCGTTAGCATTTGGGGCCTGAGAGCAGAGGGGCCCAGCCGGCCCAGCAGCCACAGGTGAGCTGCAGGCACAGGGATCAGCTACCAGGATCAGCCACCCCAAATCCGTGCCACATACAGCCAACCATTCACACAGACTGCGGGGAGGGGGAGGTCGGGTCAGGGCTCTGCACCTCTCCGCTCCACCTCCCAGCCACAAAGCCACCACGGGAGGAACAAGGAGAGATGACAACTACCTCCACGGCTCTCGCTGTCTGCAGGTTTCACCTGGATGGGACGTGCCATCTGCAATGAGAAAAGAGACACAGAGGGTTAGAGCACGGCCCAGTGCCTGGCACACAGCGCTGATGGCACCGGGTGCCCCTTTCTGCCTGCTGTGCGGGGCAGGAGAGCAGCAGAAGGGAATTGAGGCACTGTGTGGCAACCCAGGAGAAGGGACCGTGCGGGTTTCAGAGTTCTGCAAAGGAAACCAGGATCCCCTGGAAATACCCTGTGTGCACAAACTTCTGCTTCCTCCAGACAGAAGGCAGAATGTCTCTGAACGTGACCAGCAGTGCAGCAAGCAGGCAGGTTGCATTTCTCCCTGCCCAGTCCCCCTGCAGTCGGAGCATGCTCTGTGCTCCAGGGAGGCTCTAAGAAGGGCAGTGCTGCTCTCCAGCAATGCCTCCTTACTGCACTGTTTGAAAGAGACAAAACATCCTTGGCTGTGATTGTGAAGAGCTGCTTACCTCTCCTGCACTCATCAGCAATGATTCGACCAGCAGCACCAGCCAGAGCTCAGCCCACAGGACATGAGCACTCTCCAGGTAAGACAGACAGCTGTACCTGGATTAAGCAACCCACAGCTTTCACTGGCTGATTTGCAAACCATTTATCAGTTGGATGGTACAGCACTGGTGTGTCCAAAAAGGGAAGAGAAAACACAGCTTCCTCCCTACGCTAGCAGGATCCAGCTGAGCCAGAACGGCGTCTGAGCACTGCTGTACGAGGCAGGTGTCCCCACAGCACATCTCACTCCAGTCTCACAGCATCATTCACAGAGGCTGACAATGACTTGAAGCAGTGACATTCACAGCACAAAACCCACCAGGAATATTGCAGGTCAGACCCACAGGTGAATTGCAGGCCAAGCAATGCTCTTAGGAGACAAAATGGAGAACAAAATCAGGCCTTAAAAGTCACAAACTGAAACGTGTTTAGAAGCCAGCATGCAAAATACACACTGCTGTCACAGCAGGGACTGAGCCAGGCTGGTTAGAAAACCAGAGCAGAGCCCGTATTCACAGCAGCCAGAGGAAATTGCTGGGTAATCCAGCTGCTAACAGGACAGAGGGGCCAGCCAGCAGGCCAAGCTGATGGCTGAGCATGGCGGAGAACCTGTGGCAGCCCAGGGCCACGACCTGGCTTGCACAGACTGGTGGATCTCAAGCAGGATGAAGCCAAAGCTGGGAGCATCCCTGGGTTGCACTCTGTGCCTCCAGAAGTGAGGTGGGGCTGCAGAAGCTGGCCGGCAGCACCCCAAAGAAAGGCCTCTTTGGGAGGCAGCAGTGCTGGCTTCAAGCCTCTCTGCCAGGACTTGCTGTGTCATTCAGGCAAAAGGGAGAGGCCAAGGATCTCTTTCCTGCTCTGGATCAACTGCACAGCTTTACAGAGCTCCCAACGTCCTGCTGTGCTGCCAGGTGGCCCCAGCATGTGCAGCACTGGCACTCAGCAGCCTCAGAGCTGCAGCCGAGGACCCGGCATCTCCTTCAGCCCCTGAGCTCCTGGGATGCAGGGCAGGGTTCAGGAGGAGGCAGTGAGGTTTTGCTTCAGAAAGCCCCAGATCTGCTGGCTGAGATGCGGCAGCTCCTGCAGTCTCTGGTCATAAGGCTGGGAGAGGGCAGGCAGCCCAGATGTGTGCCTGGAAGAGGGGATCTGTGCAGAGCCAGGAGGAGTGGCTGCCCACCTCCCTCCCTGCCTCTCCCGCAGCACAGAGAAATAGCTTTGTCTCTACCCAGGAAGCAAAACCAGGATTAAGCTAAACAGATGGGGAGGGAGATGGAGGGGCAGGCTCGGATCTCATCTCCTATGTGGAGCAAATTCATTGGGGGGCAGGGAGGGAGGAAGGGATGCTGCTGAAGCCAAGAGCATCACCCCCCCCCGGGTACAGAGGCACCCAGGGATGCTGGGGCTGACAGCCTAGGGCAAGGAGCCAAAAGCACAGGGAGGGGGGGGGTGAAAAAGGGGGCTCGGTACCTGGGGACAGCTCACCGTCCCCTCCCCCAGAAGGGCTGTCACTCCAGTTCCAAGCACCTTGGGGAAAGGAGGTGTCGTCATGGAAACGGTTATTCACCGCATGGAACCTGACATTTGTGGTTGCCATGGAAACCAGCTCTTGGGGGCATTCCCTCTGCTTTGCAGAAAAGAGACATTTTGGTACGATCTCCGGGGAGGGGCCCCCTCCGTCCATCTGTCCACCCCTTCCCCCTCCCCAGAGCCTGCAAGGCCCCAGCGGGGTGAGCCCACAGCACGGCCACGGCCGCAGGACTGCAGAGGTGCCAGCACCGATGCCAGAGCAGCAGCACGGGTCAGCAGCGGTGCCAGCAATGGCTGGCTGCTGCAAGCTGAGGCGTCCCGGGGGGCGGCCAGCTCTGCACCCCATGGCTGCTGCCATAGCTTTTCCCCCGACTGCCTGACGGCCCCGCAGCTGAGCTTGGGGTCTCGCCAAGCCCACGGCCAAGGGATGCACGCTGCCCGCTCACTGAGCTCCGGTCCTCTTCTGCCCCAAAAGAGGTGGGGAAAGAGGAGAAAATGAGACGTGAGGAATCGGTCCAGATGCTGAGGCTGGGAGGAGAGCAGCGGGATTCTGTGTGCGCTGCTGTGTCCCGAAATGAGAGAGCGCCCAGCCGAGGGGGAGGCAGGCACGGCCCTGGCGGCAGAGAACCGCATGCATGAGGTTTCCACGAGCAGGAGCTTGGCTTTAATCCTTCCAAGTCCCACGCTGCCATTGAAGATGAACAAAATTTCAAAGGCCTCTCAAGCAGAGATGTGAGCCTGCAAACACAAAGGGAGCCCACAGCTGCTTTAACTCCTCACCAGAGGCCTTGGAAGTGCCTCTGTGGTGAATAAAAATCGTACACGGGTCTTGGCAAAGAGCTCTGTGCCCAATAGGAACGGGACAGAAAAGGACGGGGAATAGGAATGCACAGAAAGGATGGGCAGAGATCACCTCTTCCACGTGAGAAAGGCATTCAGAGGCAGGATGGTGGGCAGGTCGTGCTTCCAGACCAAACAGCCACACTCCGGAGGTGGGCATTCCTTCATTCCTTCATCCTCTGCTCACCACCTCAGGCTGCACAGCTCTCAGGGACACCTGAGCCCACAACAGCCGCGTTTGTATGGGCCCAGAATCGCAGCCAGAGGCAGCACACGCGTGCCTTGGATCCCGAATGGCAGAAATGCATGTGCACAGCCCGCAAACATACATGAACACACGTGTGCTGCACAGGACAAAGAAATGATTCACGAGGCTGCGCCCGCCTCACAAGCCGAGCTTAATTTTTCCTCGTTAAATTATTTAGCTGGGCATTAAAATTTAACCTATTTGTTCATTTCTGAAGAATACCACGGCCACATTTTGCACACGCCAGCAGACCCACGTAGGCCAGATGCCCAGCCCTCAGCCCAAAGCTTCTCTCCCTGCTCTGCTCCCCAAACCCACGTGTGCAGCAATGCCTGCAGCTCAGCAACCCGGCAGCCACGTTTGCCAGGAGGAGCAGTGAGTTCTTCCTTTTGCTATTCCAGCTTTCAGGCTGCAGATAGAGAGAGTCAGCCCCCATGGACGACAGGGCAAGCCTCTCTATTAATTAGGAGTTCAGTTATGTAGAATAGCCCCCCCAGGTACCATGCAGGGGAACCTCGCAGTGTTAAGTGGGTCAGAGGCAGAGCGCATTAAACACATGATGCAGGCTGGCTCCTCTGGGACTTCAGGAACCAAAAGGCATCCAAGGCCATTGGCAGAATGAGGTCCTGGGATTTCAGGCTTTGTAGGTTGTGGGCTGGACCTCTGCTGGCCACTTAAAGATGTCCTGCACGATGACTGGAATCAATTCTAGCTGTGCAGCCAAAGTTAAACGCCGGTTTGCTCATTTGAACTCAGCACCTGGTGCGGAATACAGTGGGCTGGTGCCCAAACCTCCTGCTTGCTCTTTGCCTGGTGTGCTGGTGCACCTCAGCCCTATTCAGAAGGATCTGCCTTCACGAGGAAAGGGAAGTGGTCTCACACAGCAATGAGCAACGTTAGCAACGAGCAGCACTCCAGCACAGCTCTAAGAGCTGCTGAAGAATTCAGTCCAATTAATCCCCATCCAATGCCATGCAGAAGGAGACGAGGATAATAATGAGAGCTGTGCTCCAGGTGGAAGAATCCGAGGGAGACGATGTTGGAGGTCGCGCACAAAGTCCAGAGCCCAAACCACGCAGCTCCTGCCCACACAGCAGTGGCCTTCTGTTTCCAACACGAACAAGATTGCTGGAGAGCTTTCACCTCACTTTGTGTCACAAGCAGAGCTGAGGAGCTCATCCCACGGGTTTCTCTGGGAGGTACTTTTCCCCCAGCACAGAGCAGAGGAGCTCCCTCCCCTTTCCTTCCAAAGCTGAGTGCACACAGGACTCAGCAAGCAGCCACTGGAGAGCATGGCCACGATACACCTGCACTGACTGCTCTGTGCTCCTCCTCCCTTAACAGTCAGCTCTCCTTGTCCCCCCTCCAGCTAGCACTGCTCTGGGAGCAAGGCAAGAAGCTTATTGCTGTGACTCAAAGGCTTTGCATCGTCTTGATAGCCCTGCAGAAGTGACAGCACCATTACTGTGCGTTAGCATCAGACAAGCAGCAGGAAGGTCAGCTCAGTGTAGCACAGACAGCCCTGCCACGTGCGTGGCTTTGGCAGGCACACATCATCAGGTCAGGCTCCTGGGATCCACGGCCAGGCTGCTCTCATGGGGCTCCTTCCCTGACGTCTCAGAGCACCAAAGAGGACACTGGATGATGTTCCCCATTGCTCTGATCTCCTCTTGTTATTTGAGCCCAGTGCCAAAGGGGCTTTAAGGTGAGAAAAGGGAGATGCCAAATGCTTCACATCTTTTTTTCTACAGGTGTTAGGGCACCAAGTGCATCCCTGGGAGCTAAAGGAAGAAAACTGCATCTCTTCAGCAGGGAAGGCAGGGTTATCAATCATAACCTACCAAAGGCACCCAGCCAGGATGGTGACGCTGGTGAATTATTCTGTAAGAAACTCAGAGATGCC